TTCTCTGTTTTGGAGGCTGTCGGTCTAGCCTGGCCTCGAACTCACAGAGATCTGCCTGCCTCTGCCTCCCGAGTGCTGGGATTAAAGGCGTGCGCCACCAACGCCCGGCAGCAGTTGGGATTTTGATAGGGACTGCACTGAATCTACAAACCTCCTTGGAAGCACTGTCTTTTCTGTGTTTCTTTAGGTCTTCTGAATTTCATACGGTGGTTTTTTAGTTTTCCGTACACAGCTTTCACTTCTAGAGTCAATTCTATCCCAAAACATTTTTTTGTTTTTCAAGACAGGATTTCCCTGTAGAATTCGCCTTGTAGACAAGGCTGGTCTCAAACTCAGAGATCTGCCTGCCTTTGTCTCTGAGTGCAAGGATTAAAGGCATGTGCCACCACCGCCTGGTTCCTAAATATTTTTAACAGAATAGGAAACTGGCAGTATAGAAGGAAGAGAAGGGTAATTAGAGGCATGAAGATATCATTTACTTATTTATGTGTCATGCATAGTGTGCATGCAGTGCCTGTAAAGTCCAAAAGAGGGCGCAGACCCCTGGAGTCAGAGTTGTCAGCGGCCACGTGGGCACTGGGAATCGAACCTTGTCCTCACTGGACGAGCAGCCATTATTCATAACCACTGAGCTGTCTCTCCAGTCCAATTCAGTCTAGTTCAGTCATTTCCTGTTACTACAAAGGAATTGTTCCTTAATTATTTTTGACTTGCTGACTTTGAAATTGAAAGCTGCTATGAAAATCACAGTCACAAGGATCTGTATACTTCTGACCCTTTCCTAGCTTAGTTTCCATATGAAAACCCAGCCCTGGTCAATTCCTTGACATCAGTCTTGAGAGACCCTAAACAAAGGACGTGCTAAGTTGTTCCAGGCCTTCTGAATCATAAACGTGTGAGACAACAGTAAGTATAACTTAATGCTGTGAAGTCTGGAATAATTTGAGTGGCAAAGAAAGACATATAGTTTGTAACAAAATATTTATATATCTAACCATAAAACCCAGTCATTCTAGTATTGGGAATTTGCCTAGAGAAATGGAAATACATAACCCTAAATTCCTGTACATTAGTGTCTGTAACAGCTAAAGTGGAAAGCAATTTAAATGTACATCACTAGGTGAATTAATAAAACAGCAATAAAAGGAATTACAGATATACAGAGTGAGATGGATAAATCTAAGATAATTATGCTGAGATGGAAGGACCTGATAGACCAAGTGATGGCTTTCAGTGCCCACAGATCAGTTAGCTTCAGTGGATGTCAGTGTTCTATTGCCTTGAAGAGACACCATGGCCAGAGCAACTCTTACAAAGGAAGACACTTAATTAGGGCTGCTCACAGGTTCAGAGGCTGAGTTCATTATCGTCATAGTGGGAAACACGGCAGTGTGCAGGCAGTCCTGGTGTTGGAGAAGCAGCTGAGAGTTTTACATCTGCATTGGCAGGTGTCAAGAACAAAGTGAGACACTGGACCTGGCCTGCCCTTTGGAAATTTCAAACCCCATCCCAGTGACACACTTCCTCTAACAAGGCTACATGTACTCCAAAAAGCCACACATCCTAATCCTTTCAAATAATGTCACCCCTATGATCCTATGGGGTTCATTTCCATTCAAATCACCACAGTCCACTCCCTGGCCCCCTGAGGCTTGTAGCCATATCATAATATAAAACTACATTCAGTCCCACTTCAAAAGTCCCATCCATAGTCTATCACAGTCTCCATACTATGCATAGCTCAAAGTCTCTGATACTCACGACGTCTTAACTATAACGCAAAGTCAAAGTCAAAATGAAAAAGCAGATCACATGTTCTCAACATACAATGGCACATAATATACATTACCATTACAAAAGGGAGGAAAGGGAGCATAGTAAGGAAATGTAACTGGACCACAGCAAGACCAAAAACCAAGCAGGCTAACTCCAAACTCTGCGTCTCCATGTCTGATGTCAAAATGCCCTTCAGATCTCTAACTCCTTCAGGTTTTGTTGACTGCAACACACTTCTCTCTTGGGCTGGTTCCACTCCCTGTTAGCAGCTCTCCTGGGCAGGTATCCCACAGCTCTGGCATCTCCAACATCTTGGGGTCTCCAAGGCAGTCCAGGCTTCCCTTCACAGCTTCATGCAATGGCCTCTCAAAGCCTCCATTCAGGAACAGCCCTGACACATGCCTGGCCTCAGTGACCTTCCTTTGTTGTCCCTGACTCTACGGCCAAAGCACGTGGTTGAAGCTACCAAGTTCTGTTGCTTTCTGGGGTTGGAACATGGCCCCTTGTTCAAATGCAATTCACCAGCTTTCTGTTGTTGAAAGTTTCCTTCACTGCCTAAGCCTGGCTGTCCTGGAACTCGCTCTGTAGATCAGGCTGCCCTCTGACTCAGAGATTCACTTGTGTCTACTTCCCAAGTGCTGGGGTTAAAGGTGTGCGCCACCACCCCAGCTCTAAGCTTTGCTTTAATTCCTTTCCACAGATTGGAAGCTTAGCTGGTGGGGTCTTGTCCAGAGGTCACTACTTCCTTTATTCCACTTAGCATGAGGCTTTTCTTTAATCGTTTTGTTGTTGTTTGTTTTTGTTTTTGTTTTGTGAGACTGGGTTTTTCTGTATAGCTTTGGAACCTGTCCTGGAATTCACTTTCAAACTCACAGAGATCCGCCTGCCTCTGCCTCCTGAGTGCTGGGATTAAAGGCATGTGTCACCACTGCCCAGCTTCTTTGATCTTCTTATACTTTCTAGAGCTTCTTTTTCACCTCAAACTGTACATTTTGTATTTTTCCTTGCTTAGCCTGTTCCTTTTCATTATAGATCTGCATAAGTGTGTCCACTAACAGCCAAGCAGCACAGTCAACACAAGACTGTCTGAAAATCTTCTCTACCAAAGCTGTTAGTCCATACTCTTCAATTCAGTCTCAAAGCAGACTTTTTTTTTTTTTTTTTGACAAGGGCAGAAAGCAGCCACATACATTTTTCACCAAAACTTCACAAGAATGATCTCTAGGCCACACATACGTACTCTCCTCTGAAACCTCTTGAGTCAGGCCCCACAGTTCAAATCACCCTCAGCACCACTGTCTTCCACGTTCCTACTAGCAAGGCCCATTAAGCCCACTGAAAGCACTCAACTGCTTTCCTAATCCAAAGCCTGAAATCTCACATTCCTCTAAACAAAAGCATGGTTGGGTCTTTCACAATACTCCAGTCCTTGGTACCAACTTCTGTCTTAGTTAGGGTTTTATTGTTGTGAAGAGACACAATGACCACAGCAACTCTTATAAAGGAAAACATTTAATTGGGGCTGGCTTACAGTTTTAGTCCATTGTTGTTAAGGCAGGAAACACGGCAGTGTGCAGGCAGGCATGGTGTTGGAGAGGTAGCTGAGACTTCTACTGGATCAGCAGGCAGCAGGAAGAAAGTGTGACACTGGGCTTGTCTTGAGTATTTCAGAGCCCACCCCCACTGACACACTTCCTCCAACAAGGCCATAAGTCCTAACCCTTTCGAACAACGCTCCTCCCTGTGAGCCTCTGAGGCCGTTTTCATTCAAGCCACCACACACTCTGGGGCTCTCAGCAGCAGGGTCTTTTGGCAGTGGATGCAACCCTTCTTATGTACTTTTGGGAGTGATGGGTGCTCTCTGTACTGACTGTAGTCAGGGCTCATGGGTATATACATAGAAAAGAACTTACCAAATTTTACACTTGATGTAAACTATCTGTGTACTGAGTACTCTTCACTGAGACAGTCTAGGAAGCATATGCCACTTGTGTGGTTTTCTCAGATATGCTGGAGTTAAAGTACAGGCTCTGATGACTACAGATGAGGCCTCGTTACTGCTCCACCCACTCTCAGATATTTACTAAGTTCTCTGCTACTTTCTGGCTGAAACACCAACATTAATCAGACTCACTTTGATATAGTATAGAAAACATATTTGGTCACTACCTAGTTTATGGCACATAGTTCTTAAAATCCTTGGCATCTTCAAAGCAAGAGTGTCCTTCTGCATTCTGAAGGTTGGTTGGGAGCGTCTGAATAATTTCAGGATGGGGTCTAGGAGGAGAGCTAACTGCCAGGGGGAACCAATCATGTGATCAGGTTTGAACTTTCAGCCATACTCCTGACTTTTGTGAAGAGAGGAGCTGAGGGTTGACTTGATCATCAATGGCTGACTATTTAATTAGCCATGCTTACACCATGAGGACTTTATAAAGACCCAAACAGATGTCTTCTTCAGAAGAGCTTCTGACTACTCAGCCCTTGAGGTGAATGGAGGGTGGTGTGGATATACCCTTCCCTCCTCCTACACTGTCCTACGTATCTCTTGTTTCGCTCTTCACCTATACCCTTTGTAGTACTCTTTATAAGCCAGCAAGCCTAAGTTTCTCCCTGAGTCCTGTGTACCATTCTAGAAAATTAATCAAACCTAAGGAAGGAGTCTCATGAATTCTCATTTTGGGGTAGAAGCACAGGTCACAACCTGAGGCTTCAGAGTGTCATGGGAGGTTTGAGGTGGGATAGGCTGTGGAACTGAACCCTTGTAGGATCTAAGCTATCTTCTAGGTAGTGTGAAAATTCAACCATAGCACACTCAGATGGCGTGTGAGAACCTATTAAGTATGTGTGGGAATGCTCCTACACATTTGGTGTCAGAAGTGTTGTGTGTGTGAAGATAGGAAATCATTAGTTTCTGCTATCTCTCATTCCCAGGTACTATACTAATAAAGCATATAGTCTTGACTTCTTAGAGCACAGGACCACAAGAGCAGCAACTTGAGAGGCTGAAGCAAGAGGATCACAAGTTCAAGGTCTGTCTACGCAACTCAATGAGACCCTGTCTCAAAATAAAAAGGGGGGGCTGTGTTGACACTTGGTGGTAGTGTTTGTCTAGCACACAGGGTCCTGGGTTTGGCCAGCACCACAGACACACACAAAGACTGACTGGGATTTGTAAATCATAAATAATTATTTTTTACATTGGTTTTCATTAGGATCCTTACCAGAAGCAAATCCCTCCCAGTGACTACGTGTCAGCTGCTCCATACAGCCCACAACCTTGCTCCACACGTTGTCAAAAACGTAAGCAAGGACGTCCTCTTTCATGCAGTGAAATGGAGCAATGGGAGGGTACCCTAACTTCTGTTTTTCTGTGGCTGCTTCTGATTTGTCTCCATGAAATCCCTCTTCCCTGGAACAGAAGCAAGGGGAAAGATCTCATGATCATTCTTCCCTGAGCCCCACCATTGTCCTTTATACTCAGAAATGTGCACCGTGTGCCCGCTCCACCCCTCCCCACCCAGCAAATGTAGCACTTGCAGCTGCCTTGGGAAGTACAGGAGTTCTCAACAGAAGAGACTGTTCCTTCTTTTACCCGCACCCTGTCCTAGTGCCCACAAAAAGAGGGTGGGGACTGAAATAGTCTGGAAGTCCTGTGGTTCTTCCGGAGACGCTTCCTATAACCAGAGCTCCCAGGGAGCCGAGCCTATCTGTTTTCTAAGGGGATGCATACCAGGAGCCTGGGGCTGGGGAGAGGGCTGGCTGACAGTATGCTCATTTACCATAGACCAGCGCTTCTCAACCTCTGGCTCCGGCTGCTTATCAGATATTTACATTACGATTCATAACAGTAGCAAAGTTAGTTATGAAGTGGCAACAAGGCAATTTTTTTGGTTGTTTTCCAAGATGGGGTTTCTCTGTGTAGCTCTGGCTGTCCTGGAACTCAGTCTGTAGACCAGGTTGGCTCTAACTCACAGAGCTCCTCCTGCCTCTGCCTCCCGAGTGCTGGAATTAAAGGTGTGCGCCACCACCTGCCGCAACAAAATAATTTTATGCTTGGGGTCACCACAACATGAGAAACTATTAAAGGGTCATAGCTTTGGGAGGGTTGAGAACCACTGCGATAGACTATTAAAAAGTAGGACAAAGAAAATTTAGGAAGTGACTGAGGAATGGGAGAAATATTCCAGGTTCCTACAGTGAGACTGTTCTCAGGCAGCAGATGTCCCCAGAACAAAATAGGCAGGAGGCTCACGCAGAGCAGTTGCCCGAGGGGAACTAGCTTGGCATTAGTAGGGTTAAGAGGATCAGAGTGGAGTTCGAGGCCAGGCTGGACCGACAGCCTCCAAAACAATACAGAGAAACCCTGTCTCATAAAACCAAAAAAAGAAAAAAAAGAAAAAAAAAAGGATCAGAGTGATTGGCTGAACTGTATTTACTTTCTTTCATTTTTAAATGTTATTTTTGAGGTAGGGTCCTGATATGCATAGTGACTAACTAGCACTCACTATGTAGACCAGGCTAGTCTTAATTTTGTTGTAATCTCATTTGCCCCTACCCCAAATGCTGGGACTGTAGGCATGTGCCATCATTTGGTGAAAAACTCAAATTGTGTGGAAGGACTCATAGTGAAAAGGATGTCTCCTATATCTCTGATTCTTAGTCCCCATCATCAGAGACAAATATTCTGTACTGTTCCAGAGAAATAATTACATTCCTTGTTACCCTGTACCTCATTCTCTATTTACCAGAGCCCCTGGACCTGTCCTATTAGTACATATCAGCCTGTCTCTTAGAGAACAGCTAGATAATTCCAGCAGCTTCACCACATGTACCCAACCAGGCAGGCCTTTGACTATGGTAAGGACTGTAATTGTTAGTGATTCCTTTCATGGGTAATTACATCTGTAGAACGGACTCCTGTAAATAGAATTAGGGAGGTAAAAGGCATCTGCCTTGCAATCTGAAAGATGAGGTCCACCACCCTCTCAAGAGGTTCTACAGACCAACAGTGAGGAAGACGCTTTCCCAGCTTCCCTTGAGGTCCTCTCAACCTGTTGGAGACCACAGTATTTCATTCTGAGTTGAATTTGATCTCTACTGCAAACATGGTTGAATTTCAAACATTTAAAATGTTTGTCCTGCTCATATGAACTTTCTGTTCATGTCCTTTTCCTGTTTAACCCTTAGTCTTTTCCTCATTCATGTATACATTAAACAAATTAATTCTATGAATGTGGTACAGATACTTTTTTTTTAAAACGGCATGGCACTTTTTATTTTTATAATCAGAAAAATAAGTCCCAAAATCTCAGTTCAGAGGCTGTATGTAGCTGAGCATTAGAAAGGGGGTCTGTCCAGTGTAAACAGGACTAAAGAGAACAGGTACCAGATAGTGACTGAGGCCCCTAGCCCACTCAGTCAAGACAGCCCCAGGTAGCTAGCACAGAGGTTCCAAGCCCAGGGTCCTCTCTGCTTGGTACAGATATTTTTGCCTAGTTTTTTTTACTTTGTTTCTTTTTCCTATGCAGAAATGTCATTTAACATCATTTAAGAACTTCTTCTATGACTCAGTAGATTTCTATTAGGGTTTAAAAATTCTTTTGAGGCCTAACGTGGCACACACCTTTAATTCCAGCACTTAAATGCAGAAGCAGGATCCAGGCCAGCATTGTTTGCCTATCAAGTTCCAGGCCAGGTTGGGCTATATAGTAAGCCCTTGTCTAAAAAAAAAAATCTTTTTTTAAAAGTCTCCCATGTCTGTTTTTTATACCTACATGATTTGATCTGTCATATGCAAATTTTTATATATGAAGCTTAAATTTACTTTTTATAGGCAGAATAAGTTAGGAATGTTACTTTTCCTGGCTTTTCTGCTTGTACACACACCATTTGCTTAAGTTATCATATATATTCATTTCCTGCAGACATTTTCACTTATTTTGTGACCTTCAATATTTTCAGTTAGGAACATTATTTTCCTCTGGTACTTGAGTTTCCGCCCATGCAGGATCTTCTGCGTGCTGGTAAGTGTTCTACCACGGAGTTACAGTCACCTTTTACCTTTTTATTTTGAAGCAGTGTCTAACCAGGTTGTATAAGCTGGCCTGATCTCACTCTGTAGCCCAGGCTGGCTTTGAGCTTGTGACTCTCCTTGCCTCAGCCTCCTGAATAACTGACTACAGGTCTGTCCAGCAGACCCAGCTTTAGTTAGGAACATCCTAAAGGCCCAACTACTGCGTCATTTTACAAGAAGATAGTATCTCTAATGTGGCTGCCTTTGAACTCTTGCCTACATTACCTGAAAATTCACTTGGGTTTACTCTCATCAGAGAAAGGGAAAGGTGCCCTGGAGCACACACCAGCCTTTTGTGTCACATTAACTCAGCCCAGTCAACCCCATTCTTCACACTTAAGAGGGAGGACCACAAGGGAGGACTTCTGATTTGAGAAAAAACAAGACAGAAGCAGATGACAAGGCGAGGGAAAGAGGAGTCTCTAGAAAACCAAAGGTCACATAAAACTTTCCTTACACCAGGGAGCTAACTCGGTGATGTCTGATACAGCAGTCTGATGCTCGCTGGCCGTAGGGCTGTGTGCACATAGTGAACACAGGCATGAACGTGGCTGCCGGAGACCCCACAGGAAGATTATGGCACAGTAACCAGGTCCAACCACACAGCCCAACACGACCCTAGTACCTCCAGATGCGCTGGTACCACAAAGGGTTCTGGAACTTTCTTTCCTAAACGAGGGTGCATTCCCATTAGTTAGCTTTGTGTGAGTGTGTGCCTACCATGGTACACATGCAGAGGTTAGAGGACAACCTTGAGTGTCAATCACTGCCTCCCAACTTGTTTTGTTTTGTTTTTTTTTTTTTTGGTTTTTTGAGACAGGGTTTCTCTGTATTGTCTTGGAAGCTGTCCTGGAACTCGCTTTGTAGACCAGGCTGGCCTCGAACTCACAGAGATCCACCTGCCTCTGCCTCCCGAGTGCTGGGATTAAAGGCGTGCACCACCAACACCCGGCTTTTTTTTTTTTTTTTTATGTTTGTTTTTCTGCCTCCCAACTTGTTTGAGACGGAATTTCCTTGTTCACTGATATATACCATGCTAAGTGGACCACCAGCTTCTCCAGATTCTCTTGTCTCTGCTTCTCGACCCCTATAGAAATTCTGGAATGACAGAGACCCGTGCTACTACTGCACTTAGCTTATGTGGACTCTAGGGATCCGAATTCATTTTGTTAGGCTTATGATACAAGCACTTTATCCACAGAGCTACTCCCTAGCCCTATTTGTTTATTTTTAAGACAGGGTCTCACATAACCCAGGCTTGCCTTAAACTTTCTCTGTAGCTGAGGGTGGGACCCCTGATTCTCCTCTGACCATCTCCTGAGTGCTGGGGTTACAGGCAGCAGTCACCATTCCCAGTCTATTTAGTGCTAGGGATTTAACCCAGAGCTGTGTCCTTGTTGGGAAAAGGCATTCTTCTAGAGCTTTTAAAGACTGAGAATAATAGTTTATATTTCAGAAAGGTAGCAGGCAAAATGATGAAACTACTGGGGTTTAGAATCAGGTGAATAAGGCTTTAACTTTACCTCAGACAAATTACTTAGGCACTCTGATTCTCACCTATTTTATTTCAAGGTAGTATCTATGAAATGACTGCTGTCAGAATAGAAGTGGATACAAATACATATTGCTAATTGTATAAACCGCATGTATCCTCTGAGTAAGAATTACATGGGAATAGTGGCACACACCTTTAATCCTAGCATATGGGAGGCAGATCTCTGTAAATTCGAGGGCAGTCAAGGCTACACAGTGAGACCCTGTCTCAAAAACACAATAATAACAAAAATAAGGCAATAAAGTTCATTTTAAATAAGCAAAGTTTCACATCTCTTTAACTAGTCTTTGAAGTTTCAGTTTCCACAGGTGATAATTTGTAAAAGGATAAAATCAAATTCTGTAGAGAAAAATCAGTCATTTAAAAATCTCTGATCTCAGAAAAAGACAAAACCACAAGTGAGAGGGGAGCCTGGTGCGGGGAAGCCACAGGAGATGAGCTCTGCATGCTGGAGGCGACAGGAAACAGACACCAAACTGTTACAGACCAATAGTGCAGTCTCAAAACAGTAGATGCGGACACACAAAACATAGTGAAAACTTAAAAGACAGTACTCACATATCCGTGTGGTCAAAAGCTAGGTACTCCTCGATGATTCCTTCAGAAAAGATTATACAGTCTACCTCTTCCCCTTCCACAGCAGACAAGCCCGACGGTTTGGTGGTGGAAGATGCTTTATGAGCATAAGGAGATGAGAAATGTAACTTCTTCCCCCTTATACCGAATCTTGGAGAGGGAAGAAAAGGAGGTATTAATGATATTAATACAAACAGCTCTCACATGGCAAGTAGCATAACTTTTGGAACAAACCCTCCTTGTCCTGGCAATACTTTCCTGAACTGAGATTCTAAGTCTTTCCATTTCTTTTTTTCCTGCAGTGCTGGGGGATTGCACTCAGTACCTTGGTCATGCTAGGTAATACTGCCTGGTTCCGACCTGTATTTCTCTTCTGATGTAACACCTGACAGCCATTCACATACCATTAGAGAAGCAGCTACTCTTGTCCTCAGTCCATTTTCATTCTTGAGCTGTAGAAATTCCTTACCGTCTAGACATATTATTAGACATATGATTTGTGAACACTACACTACAGTGCACATTCTCTCATCCTTTCAGTTATCAGTACACAGGAATCTGGCTATTTTTTGCTACTGCCTATGACATCACATCCTAGAAATCACTGTAAACCTTGTGTCCTGGAGGCATCCTGTGTTTCACTGTATGTATGGCTGTTGTTTATGTATACCATGGTAGGGGCTGACTTCCTTAATTAGGAGGTGGAATCTAGTTTCCCAATAGCATTGTTCCCACAAGCATCTGTTGAAATATGTATCTAAGATAAATATAGATGGATGTAGTGGGATATGCCTTTAATCCCAGCACTCAGGAGGCAGAGGCAGGGAATCTCTGTGAGTTTGAGGCTATCCTGGTCTACACAGTGAGTTCCAGGCTAGCCAGGGCTACATAGTTACACCTCGCCCAGACACAACCCTAAGATTAGCTCAAAGCAGAAGAACTTGCTCTGTAAGCTCAGCTTTTGGCGTGTTCTGGTTTTTGGCACGCTTCTGTAGCTTGACACCATCTTCTGATGCCTTAGCTTCCTGGACTCCCATTTTCGCCTGCACAATACCACTTGTGTTGAATGACAACCTTGTTTGAAACCACAATCTGAATGTATATATTAGTCTGCTTTTTTTTGTGTACTTTCCTCATGTAAATATGTTCTCATTTAGATTAAAAAGGAAGGAAGCTGAGGAATGTTAACGGTGTCTCAGGCACTGTGCTAGGTCTCAGTCAGACACACAAATAATCACTGAACTGCTTCTGCATGGCTTCCTCCCAGTCAGAGCCCGTCCAGGACAGAGGAGGCCGGCCCCATTTAATGCATTACGACATGGAAGACAGCTGACCTGGGAGGACTGCTGAATGAGAGGCAAGGAAGTGATAGAGAAACAGAGCTGAGGGCAGGGCCAGCTTATAATTACATAATTATAATTACTGGAAGCCTCTTTTAATGCAGTGTGGCAAACTGTTAGCATTTCTGCACAGACTCTCAGTGGCTGATAGCCCTTACCGTACGGTGACCTGGCACGCCACTCTTTTATTCAGGACACACTTCCTGGTGTGTCTCAGAACAGAAAGTGACAAAATCAGGGCCGAGGCCCTGCCTGCTCTTCTGTGCCACCACCCCACAGGAGCCGTCCCTGCACCAGCAGACTGACGTGCATGCCCATGTCACAGCATACTTACATGGTAGAGTCTCTCTCCTGAGACAGAGTTGCGTCGTGTGAAGCCGACACAGCAGAAGGCGATCTAGGGTACAGTCTGTAGCCTTCACTTGGAGTGATCATCTGCCTACCTAGAATCCTTCCAACCAAGAACAGACAGCAAACTCTGAGCATGTCAGCTGCAGATCTGACAGCGCAACACAGAAACCCTACACATTCAGCCAGATACTAAGAATGACTCCAGAGTGAGTTCTTACTCAGCTATATTCCCCTTTAGTAGAATACACATGGAAAAGATAAAGCTATTACCAATTAAAGGATAATCCAAGGGCAGCTAGGGATGTGGCTCAGTGGTAGAACACTTGCCCAGCATGACATGGTGCTGGGTTCACTGGTCAGCACACACGACACTCCCCCCTATCCCCTACAGAGGACGAAGGCCCAGCCACATTAATGAAAACTATAGGTCATGTCCTTTCCTTTAAAATGATTTACTTAGTTATTTAATGTGCATTGGTATTTTGCTTGTGTGTATGCCTGTGTGAGGGTGTTGGATCCCCTAGAACTGGAGTTATAAATAGTTATGAGCTGCTACATGGGTGCTGGGAATTAAACCCCGGGCCAAGCAGTTAGTACTCTTAATCAGTGAGCCACCTCTCTAGCCCATGAATCTTTTTTTTTTTTTTTTTTGAGACAGAGTTTCTTTATAGCTTTGGAGGCTGTCCTAGAACTTGTTCTGTACACCAGGCTGACCTCGAACTCACAGAGATCCACCTGCCTTGGCCCCCCAAGTGCTGGGATTAAAGGGGTGCATCACCACCACCACCCAGCATATGACTCATATTCTTAATAACATTAAACAGAAATTTAAGTATATGCAGTAGTGGACTATTGTGGTTTCTCAGGGAATAGTATGTTTGTCCTTTCAAGTACACATGATAATTACTTGTAGACAATGGTATAAAAAACATTCTCTGATCATTTTGTTCAAAAGAAGGGTTTTCTGAAATGCCCTGACACTCAGAAACTGTTACTGATATAGAGATACTTTACTCAGCTTGTGACATGATGGCTCCTGTCTGCAATCCCAGGCCCTGGGAGATGGAGGGGAGGGGAGGACCAGAAGTTCAAGATCATCAGTTCACATGCATCCGCCTGCGGTAGGAGGCTGCTCAGGGGCTAAAAGCACTCTCTGCTCCTGCAGAGGACCAGGTTCAGTTTCCAACATCTACATGGTAGTTCACAATTGTTTGTAACTCCAGTTCCAGGAGCTCTGGCATCCATGGGCACCAGGTATATGCGCAGTACATATAAACGCATGTTGATGAAACACTCATAATATGTAGGAAGAAAAAAAAGTTTTTGAGACAAGGTCTCACTAAGCAGTTCTGGCTGTCTTGGAACTTACTATGCAGACCAGGCTAGCCTCAAACTCATAGAGATCTACCTGTCCCTGCCTCTGAGTGCTGGCATTAAAGGTGTGCACCACCAAGTCCAGCCAGGAAAAAATGTTTAAAAAAAGAGAAAGTTCAAGGCCAACCTGGGCTGAGACCTCATCTTACACATACACAGGCACATTTTAAAGTTTTACTGCTAGATGGGTATGGTGGTGCATACACCAAGGAGACAGAGGCAGGCAGATAAATGAGTTCAAGACCAGCCTAATCTACATAGCGAGGCCTTGTCTCAAAAAAAAAAAAAAGTGTGCTTAATTAGAATATGTTGGAATGTTAGTGATTAGGATAAGTCCAAAAACTTCTACTAACCTGAGTTTTCTTTCAGCTGAGGCTTTATACACATGGCTTTAGATTATTTCATCAAAATATGTCCATTAATGGAAAGGGGAAAAAAATACTCTGGCCAGGTGGGCCTTTAGGTCCCAGCACTCTGGAGACAGAGACAGCTGTATCCCTGTTGAGTCAAGGCCAGTCTGGTCTACAGAGTGAGTTCCTGGCCAGCCAGGGTTTCATAGTGAGACCCTATCTCAAAAAAGAAAAAAAAAATCCAAAGCTCATAAAGGTTCAGAATTCAAGATGTGAGACGCCCACAGTTCCCACGGCAGTCAGGCTCCCTGGTACCTGAGGTGAGGGAAGCTCGACGCCCACTGCTGACACTCTCTCTGCAGACTCTGTGTGTTCACACTCAGCTTCTGCTCGTACAGGAGCTCGTCGATGGCTGTGAACATTGCCTGCACCTTCTCAGTGGCATTTTGATCGAGTTCCTAGAAACAAAACCGCCCCCCAAACATATAGATGAGCTATTAAGAATGTATTCTAGGGGCTTGAGAGATGGCTCAGTAGTTAAGAGCACTGACTGCTTTTCTAGAGTACCTGGGTTCAATTCCCAGCACCCACACGGCAGTTCACAACTGTCTGTAACTCCAGTTCCAGGGGAGTCTAGTTGCTGCATCCCCACACAGACATACACACAGGCAAAACACCAATGCACACACGCGTACACACACACACACACACACAAAGAATGTATTCTGTACATTCAGATTAGCGATTCTGAACCTGTGGCATTTTACATTTGATTTTTACATTTTTACTATCAGATATATTTTTGCGCACTTGAGTCACTGAGATATATAGACTTTGTATTAGATTAATTTTGGTGTCTAACTTTCTTTGGCAAGTTCTTTATAATAAAATTTTCATTTTTAAAAATTTGCATAGCGCCCTGGAAAATGAGCACCAGTGGATAACTCTGAGTTTTCTATCCATTTTAGGCTGTTCTTAATAATGCTGTAATAAACATATTTCAGGACAGCAAGTTGGCTAAGTGGGTAAAGACACTTGCTAAGTTCAAGCCCCAGGACTCACGGGTGGAAGGAGAAACTGGCATCCACAAGCTGTCTTTTTTTTTTAATATTTATTTTTTTATTTTTGGTTTTTAAAGACAGGACCTCCCTGTGTAGCCATGACTGTCCTGGAACTCTCTTTGTAGACCAGGTTGCCCTAAAATTCAGAGAACTTCACCTGCCTCTGCCTCCTGTGCTGGGATTAAAGGTGTGCGCCACCACTGCCCAGCGGATTTGCTCATTTTTGTGTGCTGTTTTCCTGCATGTGTGTCTGTGTGAAGGTGCCAGATACCCCAGAGCTGGAGCTGTAGACAGTTGTGAGCTGCCGTGTGGGTGCCGGGAATTGAACCTGGATCCTCTGGAAAAGCAGTCAGTGCTCTTAACCACTGAGTCATCTCCATAACTCCCCACAAGTTGTCTTCTGACTTCTATATTCATGCCATGGTATTTGCGCCCCCAACATAGACACAGAAACACACACACACACACACATACACACACACACACACACACACACACAAGATCAGAGGGAATATTTTAATCTCAGGCACCGAAGAATAAAAGATAAAAACAATCATGGTTTGCTTTGTTTTAGAGTTCATTTGAGACACTGTGTTTATATAAAAGGAAAGGTAAATTAGGGAGCTTTCACATCTCAAGGAATTTTCAGATGCTTCTGTTTTTTTCTTTTTTTAATAAGGACAACTTACAGAAATACATTTTATTTGTTGGTTTATTTTTTTTTCGAGACAGCCCTATATAACAGCCCTAGCTGTCCTAGAACTCGATTTATAAACCAGGTTGGCCTCAAACTCACAGAAATCCACTTGCCTCTGCCTCCCAAGTGCTGGGATTAAAGGTATGCGCCACCACATCTGGCCAGAAATACATTTTTAAGTGATTTAAAAATGAATTCTAAAAATTCACTGTACACTAAGCACCAAAAGGAAAGCAGGTGACGGAAACATGTATGCATCTTTCTGAACCTAAAGATATGATCACGGCTCAGGGTAACGGGACTGTGTACTCAGCTCACTGGACCCTCCAATAAGGCAACGGATTACGTCACCAGGCGTTTGGGGGCACCCATCCTTACACGGATGCTGGACTCATACTCTGGTCCTGATGACACTGACAACTGAGCCGCCTTGCCAGGCCCGCCTTTGGGACTCTTGCGTATGCTGCCATCAGCTATCTGAGAAGTTCTTTTTCTCCTTCTTCCCACGATTACCTCTTCAGTCCTTCAATCTCCATCTACTTACTGTGCAGATAATGCCATCGTCCCAAGTAAACGCCCTTATGACACCCTGCGTCAGCACCCTGCTAGAGAACTTTGCCACTCTGTACTTCACATCCTTGTCAGTCTCCTCATTAGACTCCTGGACTATGTAAGTCTCACTCCATAGCTACAGCAACAGACAGACATGCTCAAAATATTCCTTGAAGAAACTAATAGAACCTGAAAATCCAAATATTAAATACGGAGAAGCTCTCAGTATGATAGGCTAACACCAAGACTATTATATGTACTATTCTAGTTGACAGATGTGAAGGTAATAATAAACATTACCGCTAACAACGGTAAATGACAAAAGTAGACTGCAAAACAGTATGCACATACATATTAACCAAGGAAAACATACATACATAAAAACCTACTGGAAAGTGATTATTGGTAATAATACACGTAAACAATTAAGTGTCTCTGTAAAGAGAGCAGCTAACTACATTTTTCTGTGTGTATTTTTTTGTTGTTGTTTTGTTTTTTGAGACAGGGTTTCTCTGTGTAACAGCTCTGGTTGTCCTGGAACTCACTCTATAGACCTGGTTGGCCTCAAACTCAGAGATCCTCCTGCCTTTGCCTCATGAGTGCTGGGATTAAAGGTGAGCGCCACCACCACCCAGTTGGGATCTTGTCTCAAAACAATAAATAAAGTAGCTGGGCATGAAAGTACATGGCTTTAATCTCAGTCCTGGAGAGGCAGACGCAGATAGATTTCTGTGAGTTTGAGGCTAGCCTGGTCTACATAATGAATCCCAGGACAGCCAGAATCATACAAAAATACCTAATCCCAAAAACCCAATAAATAAACAAATAAGGAAACAAGGCAAAAAGTGACCAAGGAAAACACCTGTTGACCTCTGGCCTTCACACATGAGTACAAAGCAACAAGGCAAGCACACTCCTACACATACACACACACACACACACACACACACACACACAGTGCAAGGCAATAAGGCAAGTGCACTCCTACATATCATACCACACACAGGCATGTTCACCAGTGTGCGCTCACACGCCTACATACATATCATACCACCCACAGGCATGATCACCAGTGTGCGCTCACACGCCTGAACACACAGTTTGAAGAGTGAAGGAACGGCATTCCTCAGTTCCAACAGAGTTTTTTACTAGACTGCAGCAGAATAATTAGCAGACAACTCACACCATATCCCCAAGAGAAGTCAGAGCTGCCTTCTGTAGAGACCCCTGTGCCTGCATAGCTTGGAAAAGCAGAATGCGAATTCCCGGTGTCGGTTGATGTAAAAGGTGATTCTTGGGTGATGTCAGACTCACTAAACGATTAATTTGAGAGAAAGAGAGAAAAAGAGATTATTCTCATGTTTCCTTGGCACCTAATCAGGTGGCAAATATGTAACAATATATCTGTAAAGGCAAACATTCAAGCACTGTGAAAACCCACCGATCTGTATAGACAATCTGTACAGAACTGACGGCGGTGTGCTGAATGGCAGCCAGTTCATGAGTTAGTATCCACCTGAACCTGTGTTCTTCACCACTGGAGATACTTCAGATACGGTAACAGAGTGTCTGAACTCCTTAGCGCCTGTAATTTCTCAAGCACATTCACAAACACCCACCTCCTTTAGCCCTTGCTACTGAAACCTGTTGATGCAGGTCTAATGAAGTCTCTTTAAAACTCAAGGAATCTCTTTTATTTCCAGGTTTGAAACTAGATTTTGACTTTATATATTTTTTTTCTATAACAGCACATTATCCTTCAGAAACCTCTTTAAAGCTGGTCTTCTAACTCTTCCTTAGGAACTGCAATTATCATTTACTCAGTATTCACATATGATAAACATTGTATCAAGTTTTACACACTTTATATAATTTATAAGACCATGTAAGAGATGTTGATATGGCTGGAGAGATGGCTCAGAGGTTAAGAGCACTCGCTGCTCTTCCAGAGGTCCTGAGTTCAATTCCCAGCAACCATATGGTGGCTCGCAACCATCTGTAATGAGACCTGGTGACCTCTTCTGACCTGCAGGCACACATGCAGGAAGAACACTGTATACATAATAAATAAATAAATAAAAAAGAGATGTTGATAATGTCTTGTTGATGTATTTTTTTTCTTGGTCAAATCAACTTAAAGATTTGCCAGTTTTACTGACTGATTTCCAAAGAACCAACTTCTGGTTGTTGTTTTTCTATTTCACTATCCATTAACTCATTTGTCCAATGTTACTCAGCTAATAAATGGCAGGAATAGAATTAAAATCAAATCCCTGATCCCTTTTGAATCTAATTACTTAACAACTACATATGACTTCTGGCAGGCTGGAGAGATGTCTCTAAAGTTAAGAGTGTGTACTGCTTTCCCAGAGGAGCCAAGTTCAGTTCTCAGCAGCCATGTCAGGGAGTTCACAGGGGGACCTGCCCTTCAGCCTCTGCTGGCACCTGCAATCATCTGCACAAACTCACACATACGTAAATAAAAACCTAAATTTCACATTGGTGTGATATTGTTTTCAATAGCTGTTCCAGAATCTCACACACACACACACACACACACACACACACACACACACACACACACACACACACACACACAGAGGCTGACTCTGCAAAACTGAGCTCTAGTCTCCGGCTCTCGCAGAGATAAAATGTCTTCTCTTGTTTCACTGGCACAGGCGTGGTCCTAATGAACACCCTTGCCCTTAGCAAGTGCAATGAGCAAGCATGCGTTGTTTCCGTACCTTTGAGAACTGGTATCTTTTTCGTGGCTGTCATTGGTAGAGGAAATGTCATCCAGTTGCTCTGGAAGGGGATGATGGTTGAGCGCATGCTTTGTTATTCCTTTCCTGTGAAGACAGAACAGTCCTCGCTTTATAGTTCATAAGCCCTGTAAAGTCACAGGCTCACAATTATTTCTTATTCTCTGTGTGTATGTGCACGTGAAGCGTGAGACCAACTTGCAAGAGTTGGCTCTTTCCTTCCACCAGGAACTGAACTGTTACCAGCCTTGGTAGCAAGTGCTTTTACATGCTGAGCCACCTTGTCAGCCCCTAATAAAAACACTTAAAAGAAAAATTATGTTTGTGCCTGTCTGAGTCTGTGTGCACGTGGTGCCCGCAGGGTGTTGGATCTCCTGGAACTTGAGTTACAGGCAACTGTGAGCCCCCTAATATGGGTGCTGGGAACTAAACTCAGGTTCTCTTCAAGAACAGTAAGTACTTCTGAGCCAGGTCTCCAGCCCCCCAATATACTTTTTTAAAATGTCCACCATTAGAGAGAGAAAATTAAAGTGCACATTCTACTGAGTCTTAGCTTTATGTACAAATATGCTACAATTCATTAAAATCTCCAACTACTCATTTCCCCTGAGAAGCTCCGGAGCCAGACTACTTAGATTTGAACCCTGACCTCATCACTTACTAGTCATATTCCAAGCAGTCTTTAATCCCATGCTTTAAGTGAAACACATGTACGGAGATTCATGAAGTGCATTTTCACATTAAAGAAACTTGTAGAACTCCACCCAACCTACCATGTCTTCTGAATGCACTTGACTAGGGACTTTTGTGGGGAACTGATGCCTGCTGTAGATAATTAGTTCTGGAAGACATAATAGCTGACATAGTCCACTTTCTTCAGTGGACAAGTCCAGCAGAAAATAGATTCTAGAGGAGCATTGTCCAATGGAAATATGACAAAAGCCACTGTGAATGTCATTTACATTTTCAGGTGGTCACATTAAAAAAAAGCAAGCCATCCCAGCTGGCTTATATGTTTGTCTTGAATTTTTCATTTAAAAAGGCAAGCTGAGGCTGGGGATGCAGCTCAGCAACAGAGCTTCCTAGCGCATGTGAGGCTCTAAGTTCAGTTTCCAGCACCGAAACGGGGTGAGGATGGGAGGTCGTCATCTGTGTACTTGTGCAGAACGAAACACCTACAATCAGTAACCGTTAGAAAAGGGTACTACTGCCAAATGGATTACCACTATAACATCTAAAGTAAAAACCCGTTTTCATTTACATGCATCTAGTCCTGGTTGTTCACTCCATCTGATTCCCTTCTGGAAAGGTTACTATTAGGAACTATTAAAATGGCATCGAGAATGAGGAGTGTAACTACACAAGTTCAGTAATTTCAGCTCAGAAAATGCCTACATTTCCATACAAAGCCTATTTTTAACTTCTCTGGTTAGAATTAACTATAAAACAAACTTGGGGCTGAAGAGACGGCTTGGTGGGGAGAGGTCCCTGCCACGAAGCCTCATCACCTGAGTTCCACCCCCAAGGCTCCCGAAATGGAAGGACTCTTGTGAGCTGTCTTCTGACCTCCATACGTGTGCTTCTGTGCAAGTGCGCACACACACACATCATACACTAAATGGAATTTTAAAAATTAAAGAATTAAAGCAGATTTTAAGTCAAACCCGTTTCTCTTTGGGGAAATGACTGTTGTTTAGTCTTATTCCCTAGTGGGCTTATTGCCTAATTTGCTGTTGTCTAGATAACATATTCCTTAGTTGACAGCATGCTGATAAAAAACAAGGGAGTTCTTTTCTCTGTGTGGCTCTTGTACCAAGTCAAGAGAGTGTTACCACTTATTGAGGACCTACTGTTGGGGGCCACGCCAGGGGACCAACAGGCAGCGTGGGGACTCAGGGAACACGGCTGGGCGGTTGACAAGCCATGCCTGAGTGAGCCTTGGAGAGGCAGACCCAAGGACTATGTGTCCTAAGGACCTCATGTTGTTAGTGGGTGTGGCTCTGAGTGTTGCCTTCACGGTCACCACATCCCTCATAATCTTCAGGTTCAGGAGGTTTCTAGCCCTCACTGGGCAGTGTTACTGATTCCTACAATAATAGTGATTGACTTTTTCCAGGCATTGCTGTTGGAACAGATTAATGATTCAACCACCACCCTTAGAGAGAATTTAGACATGCAGAATTGTTAGTAAAGTTTTTGTTAATGGTTTTGAGGTAGAAAATCTTGGGGAACAATTTAGTTTATAAAGACACACTTTTAATAGTTGAACCTCGTTGAGGTCAGGAATAGGAACAGTGGCAACCTGGCTATTGCGGGCTGATGTACCTTTCTTGCTAGGATGGGTTGGTGATCAAGGGTGATGATGAATTTAATTCCTTGTACCCATCTCTGCCCTCAGCTTCCTCATATAAAAACTGTTGATGAGTGGGTAAGCACCCTTAGGATTCAAAGTAGAGCTGACTGATTGTTTTTCATATACAGAAGTTTAGATTTGTGATTATTTTAAGATTTTTTATAAGATTACCTTTTGAGATAAATAATAAAGTGATTGATCCTTTCTTTGTAACCACAAGATGAAGCCTACCAGCAAAAGAAATAGCTGAGAAAAATACCGTGCTTGCTTATACTCTGCTAATCTATAACAGGTTGCTTGGGTACGAAAGTATGTGGAGTCTTGGGGACAACTTGTTTTTCAGCTGTAATACATAAAGTGTTTAATTATGTAAGGGATATGGAAAACATATTATTGTTTACTTGTATTCATTGTAATCATTCACTCAAAACGCAGACTGTAACCACATTGTAATTTTTATACTACTTGAAAGACTTTTGCAGGGATATACAAGCTGTAAGGGAAAATGTAAAGCTAGTTAGAAGGAAAAATTAAGAATAGACAGAAGGGAAACATCAGGGTAGAACAGAACAGAAAGAGAATAGAGTAGAATAAGCAACAATAAAAATAATAAAATGAAGAACTAAGCTTTGGCCCTCAGGAAAGTCCTCATGTGTCTGTCTGTCCAGTAGTTTGCCTGTTCTGTATCTCCTTTTCAGTTTCTCTGACCTGCTGAAGGCTTGCCATTCAGCAGCACCCTAGGTGAGATCTTGACATGTTGGAGTTGTGTGTGTGTTTCTCTTTTTTGCCAGCCCCAGAGAGTTGAGTTTTGCCCACCTTGCCTGCTCCAGAGAACTAAGTTTTACTCCCCTCAGATAGAAAAGTCAACTGAGTGATTAGCATGCCAACTCTTCGGACCCCTCAATCCTTGAAGCTGTCAGCCCTGTGCCATCATTTTAGGTATGCTTGTATATATAGACAGAAAGGGTGAGATTTAGTAATTTGTCAAAAAGCTACACAGCAATAAAAGTGCCCGTCCAGGATCTCAGATGTGGCTTTAAATGAATGTATTGGCATGCACAGCTACAGTTTAGTAAGTGTATGACGGCTGAAATAAGTTTAGTGATAGGGAACAACTGGGCTTGGCTTTTTAAAGTTCAGACTCTAATGGCTTAAGGTGTGGAACCTTACTAATTTCATCTGAGAAACAGAAGCTAGTTATAGCCATCTTTCAGAACTGCTGAAAGGCTCAAAAACCTGAAGGTTCCTTCGAAATTGCCACATGCCAGAAATGTAAGGCATTATCATTATCTGCCACATTACAGCACTTTTTTGTTTGTTTTTTTCGAGACAGGGTTTCTCTGTATTGTTTTGGAGGCCGTCCTGGAACTCTCTCTGTAGACCAGGCTGGCCTCGAGCTCACAGAGATCTGCCTGCCTCTACTTCCCGAGTGCTGGGATTAAAGGTGTGTGCCACCGACGCCCAGCACATTACAGCACTTAACTAAGGGTACAAAGCAGGTCTTTTGGCTACAAGTGTTTGCTTTTCAGTCCACAAACAAAACTGATTCTTATTTGCCAGGGGTGTGCAAAGTATTGACAACAGGCTTTCGGACTGGATTGATACTTGGTTTGTACTTCTCGGCTGCACCATCTAAATCTTCTAGATACAACCTTTAGACCTGTGATCTTTATCCGTAGGATGTGCAAAGTCGGTCTCCTAGCTTTGCTAATGCATTCAAGCAAACAGCTTTGCACAGTGTTTGGAACTAGACACGTTCAACTTTATTCCAGCATTCGGCTACTGTCTTCCGTAGGGGCCAGAAGCACTGTGGGAACAGTAAGGGCTTCTGGAGGTCCACTTCCTCAATGCATGCAGTAACAGGCCAAAAGAGTCTCAGGGTAGCAGGGACGGCACACCATCAGCGGGTGGCCCAGGGACAAGAGACAGCTTCCGCCAGGGCTGGGAGGGGAGAACCCGGCGGACTAGCTCCTCTCCCGAGCCCCGGGGAGGGGAGGAGAGACTATCAAGGAGGGTCTCTAGAGCTCCCGCGGCCCAGGCTGGGCGAGCAGAGCGGTCCACTCACAGCTCCACGCTCTGCGGCACGGCCTTCCGAGTGTATCTGGAGATCATCCTCCGTTTTCTCCTCCGCGGCCGGGGCGGGCTAGCCAGGGAGGGGGCTTCGGGGCCTGGCCCTCCCGCCGGCTCCGGCCCGGCCCCCTCCTGCCACCTACCGGCCCCGTCTCTCCCCGTCTCGCCCCGTCGCCTAGACTCCGGACCGCCACCTCCCAGAGTTCCCACTCTATAGTCTTCCGACCTGCCTCCTTCCTCTCCTGAGAGGAAGTGACGGAGGAAGACCGCCTCGTCCAGAAACTGGCTCCGATGCGCATTAGTGACTACGTCCAAGGTTCCCAGACTCACGGCTCCCGGGGGTCCAGGCGGAGTGGTGGCCCTGGCAGGGAGGACCGGCTGGGCTTGGGCGGTTGCTGTTCTCTTCTGACCAAGAGCCGCAGTGGTGAAGAGGCGGCCCAGGAAAGGTGCCGGAGCAGAGGCTCACGAGAGGGCCTCTAGCCGTGAAAGGAATGGCTGGACCTGATTCCGGCGGACGAGGGGCGTCTAGAGGGACGAAAGACGACTAGACCGCGCCAGGCTCCGGCTCTCGGTCGCCGCTTTCTGTGCTCTCAGGTTTGCCGTTTGTGTTACGAATCCTTAGCCCGAGTGATCTCAAGTTCAATTCTGACTCTGGAAGTGCTGCGCGGGGAGTTCGGCTTGGGCTGGGGGGGGAGGGGGTAGAACCTTTGCCTGACCCTCCGGGCTGAAAGGCAGCATGATTCTAATTTACGCTGATGTGTGGGTAGTTGCGTGGAAGACGCGGGTTCCGCATTGGTCCTTTGCAAAGCAAAGTGAGCTTAAAAATCAAATCGCAGCGTTAGGTGGGCATCTGGAACTATGGCAAATTATTTTGGGACGAAATGGTAACACAGATTTTTGTGCTTTCAAATCTCCTGTAGACTTAAATTCTGTAAAGCAAGGGACATTGCTGTTTTGTTTGTTTGCTTTGTTTTTAGAGACAGGGTTTCTCTGTGTGGGTCTGGCTGTCCTGGAAGTAGCTCTATGGACCAGTCTGACCTCGAACTCCAGAAATCCACCTGCCTTTGCCTCCCGAGCGCTAGGATTAAAGGCTTACGCCTCCACCGCCCGGCGAAACACTGCCTTTTAACGCATTTGATAACAGTTTTAAAGTAACAAGGTGCTTTAGAGATGGAGTGTAACAATTAACGAGAAAACTCAAGAAAGAAAAGTGTCCAAAGTATGCAATAGAAGCACAATTGGACGTTTTGAGAGAAAATGGTGGATTAATGTAATGTTCTCTTTTTTTTTTAAGATTTATTTATTATGTACACACTGTTCTGCCTGCAGGTCAGAAGAGGGCACCAGGTGTCATTATAGACTGTTGTGAGTCACCATGTGGTTGCTGGGAATTGAACTCAGGACCACTAGAAGAGCAATCAGTGCTCTTAACCTCTGAACCATCTCTCCAGCCCCTAATGTATGTTTTCAAACTGTGCTACACACACTGCTACTAATTTAAGGGCAAAATACTTCATTTGTTTGTGAGACAGGGCCTTGCTATGTTTCCCAGGCCAACCTTGAACTCCTGGACCCAAGTGATCCTCTTGCCTTAGTCTCTCGACTGAGACCACACACACATCCATTGCACTTAGCAGTTTTAATTTTTATTCTTGCACACTTACTTGGTAATTGGAAGGTGCGTTGTTGGATCTCCATTCACTCTATAACATTAAGGTTTCCATTTAACGTAAGTATAAGGGACATGTTTTTAATGTCATTCAGAGAGTGATAGTCAAGTGGTGTGTGATGATGGTAGGGTTTCAAAGTTTGGGAAATAATGCAGTCACCTAGAAGAGTTTTGGGAATGCTGTTGTTTCTTCTCCTGTGTGGCTTATGTCGCTGAAGCTTTGAATGTCATTTTCAAAGAATGGAGGGCAATATGAAGCTTGCAATGGTAGAAGATGCTGTGGAGTACCACCTGTTCCTAATACCAGATAAAGCAAGAGACACAGATGAACCCAAGGAGATTCTTCAGAAGTACATTGAAAGAATAATGACCCAGTTTGCACCTATACTGGTCCCTTATATCTGGCAGAATCAGCCTTTCAATCTCAAATATAAACCTGCAAAAGGTAAAGTAACCCGCTTATTAGTGTTGTCTAAGAGAGAGTTACATCCACAACCTTTAAAGCAGTGATGTTTGCCTGTATCAATTTAAGGCCCTAAAGTTAAATATGTGCCATATAGATCAGAATGTGGGGATTGTGGTTATTGCTCTGAACTTTAATTGCAATGCTGTGCTCAGGCCCAGCTTACCCTGTTTCTTCAATCATGGTTCCTTTTTATTACTCAGGGCTTATCTTGATGTCTTTAGTGGGTTTCTTTGTTTTATATAGTTGTTTTGCTGAGAATCAAGAGTGACTTTATCTGTCTAACAAAGATAATGAAATGGGTTTTGTCACGGTCAGTTGCCATCCGGAAGCATTTTGAATATCCTTTACTGCTTACATGTGTCATCGGTGATTTCAACCAACTCTAGCAAAATACAGTAATCTGCTCTGTCATTTCTTCTAACTCTATGAACATGACTAATAGGTAACTGGCCCAGTTGGTATCTACACAGTGGCTTATGTAGGGCCTATTTAGGATAAGGAGCTTGGTATCTTTTGCTGGCTCATAGTTTAGTGCTAATCTGTTGTATTTTGCTAGTAACTGCTAAGTTTCTCCTTTGCTTTTTACAGCACTGGGCATTGAACTTGGGGCCTTGTGCATTGCTAAGCAACTGGCCTACTACTGAGCTACTTCTCCAACTCTAATTTTTTTTTTTTTTTTTTTTTTTTGGTTTTTCGAGACAGGGTTTCTCTGTATTGTTTTGGAGGCTATCGGTCCAGCCCAGCCTCGAACTCACAGAGATCTGCCTGCCTCTGCCTCCGAGTGCTGGGATTAAAGGCGTGCGCCACCACCGCCTGGCTTCCAACTCTAATTTTATTGAACTCTTATTTTCTAGAATTCATACGATTTTTTAAAAGATTTATTTATTTATTACATATACACCAGATTGAATTGTAGATGGTGTGAGCCACCATGTGGTTGCTGGGAATTGAACTCAAGACCTCTGGAAGAGCAGTCAGTGCTCTTAACCTCTGAGCCATCTCTCCAGCCCCAGAATTCATATGATGTTTATTGACAGGGAGACTAGCAAATTAGTATGCCACATCTAAAACCAACCTTTTAGCTGTGAGCTTGACACTCTGCAGGCTAAGGCAGAAGAGGCACCCATTTGAGACCAGCCCAGGCCACAGAGTGAGACCCAGTTTTACAACAAAAGCAACCTTTTAACTTTTAGGAAACCATGTTTACTCTGTATTTTCTCACTCATCTAATGGCACTGCTGACTAGTTGACCAAGCTAGTGAGTATTTCAAATTATGCTCGTCACTGCTATCTTCAGTGTAGTGTGAGCACTGCCAGAATATCCCTTTCTGCATCTGTTTGATCTCAGGGAGGCTGCTCTTTATTCTTTCATCCGGGAAACTACAGGGCCCAACTTACCTCTCCAGCTCCAGTCTCTTGAGCTCCTCACACTATTGGCAGTACCTTCGTACAACACAGATTGGATCGTGTCACCTCCTGGCTTAACCTCCTTCATTTTCCTGTTGCTGCAGGGGGGAGGTTTCAGTTGAAGTCTGACATGTAATGTAAATAGAAGTCATACTCTAATCATGATAATAATATAAATAGTAAAAAGTAATAAAATAAAAACAACCGTGCTCTAGTCTAACTGGCAGATCCGGGTGGTTTGGAGTGAGCGGGAGAGTTGAGTGTTCACCTCACCTGGTTTTGCTGTGATTGCTCTGGTAGTACCCGTGTTGCATATGTTTGACGTTCACTCTGTTAATGTGGTGCATTGCATTGATTGATTTCTTAAGTTCTTGTTTGTGTGTATGGGTGTTCCCCTGCGTGTAAGTCTGTGAATTCTTGTTTGTGTGTATGGGTGTTCCCCTGCGTGTAAGTCTGTGAATTCTTGTTTGTGTGTATGGGTGTTCCCCTGCGTGTAAGTCTGTGAATTCTTGTTTGTGTGTATGGGTGTTCCCCTGCGTGTAAGTCTGAATTCTTGTTTGTGTGTATGGGTGTTCCCCTGCGTGTAAGTCTGTGAATTCTTGTTTGTGTGTATGGGTGTTCCCCTGCGTGTAAGTCTGTGAATTCTTGTTTGTGTGTATGGGTGTTCCCCTGCGTGTAAGTCCGTGAATTCTTGTTTGTGTGTATGGGTGTTCCCCTGCGTGTAAGTCCGTGAATTCTTGTTTGTGTGTATGGGTGTTCCCCTGCGTGTAAGTCTGTGAATTCTTGTTTGTGTGTATGGGTGTTCCCCTGCGTGTAAGTCTGTGCACCATGTCATACAGGGCCCTCAGAGGTCAGAAGAGGACATCAGACCCCTTAGAACTGGAGATATAAAGGATTGTGAGCCACCACGTAAATGCTAGAAATTGTACCCGGGTCCGCCAGGGCTCTTAACCACTGAGCCATCTCTCCAGCCCCATATTTACTGATTTTTTTTTTTGTATGTTGAACCATCTTTGTAATCTAAGAAAAAAGATCCCATTGGATTGTAGTATTATAACCCTTTCAATGTGTGGTTGTATTTGGTTAGTCAGTTTTTTCATTATCGTGACAAAGATACCTGAGAAAAATCAATGTAAGAGGATTTATTTTAGCTTATGGCCTCAGCCTCCTCAGGGCTAGAATTACAAGAGGCACTGTGCTCTGCTAGTAGAGGTTTTTGATTACTAATTGAATATCCTTTATAGTTACAGGTCTGATAATATTCGGCTTTCTCATGATTGAGTCAAGACCTTAAGTAGGAATTCATCCATTTCTTATAGGCTCCCCACTTTCTTGGTGTGAGGCATTCATGGATTCCCTTATAATCTTTTATATTCTGTAGAAAGAGCATACTGTTCCTGCTTTCATTTCTGATTTTACTCATCTTTTCTTATTCTTATTTAATCTTTTTAATGGTCTGTCGATTTTTTTGACCTCTCCCCCATTTAAAGAACAAAAACAAAACAAAAAAACCCTGTTTGCTTCATTTATCTCTGCTGTAATTTTCTTGTTTCTCCTGCTAGATTTATGCTTTGTTTCTTGTTTTTTTGCTTTCTTAAAGTGTAAAGTTAGAGTGCTGACTTGAGATTTTAAATAAGTATAAACTGCTGCTATCATTATTTTTTGTTAAATTTTGTGAATT